TTTAGTAACAACAAAAAAATTCACACGTGAACATTTGCACATGCATAGACATACACATATGCCTTGTATTTTACTCAACTCTTTGAATAAATCTGTCTCTAAATTACATATTCTAAGAGGAGGAAAATAGATATATAAAGATAAAATGGTACAGTGATGTTACCTAGTTTAACTTCAGGGGGAAATGTTTAAATAATTGGTTCATAAGCATTTCATATCAACTGAGTTCACATTATTGTAGCCTTAACAAGTGTCCCTGTTAATAAATTTTGCAAGCATACCAAGAGACTCTCAATTTTTATTTATTTATTTATTTTGTGAGGAAAATGGGCCCTGAGCTAACATCTGTTGCTAATCTTCCTCTTTTTGCTTCAGGACGATTGTTGCTGAGCTAACATCTATGCCAATCTTCCTCTTTTTTTATGTGGGATGCTGCCACAGCGTGGCTTGATGAGCGGTGCTAGGTCCATGCCGGGATTCAAACCTGCGAATCCCAGGCCACCAAAGCAGAGCATGTGAACTTAACCACTATGCCACTGGGCCAGCCCAAGACCCCCAATTTTATCAATACAAGTCTACTACAGCTAGCGAATAATGTTCAGAATTTCAATTAAATATACTGGTGCCAGGGTTAAGAAATGTAAATTAAAATACTCCAGAGATGCAAATTTTAATCACTATGGATTTTCTAAATGCTTATGAAACCTCTTAGCCTTCTCAACATGCATTTCTAGATTACAATTCTTCATTAAATGTCCAAATTTTTTAGAAGGCGACTTTGGTTTTAGTTTGTTGGGGTTTTTTTAACTACTGTCAAATGCATAATTTCACTCCCAATAAGCAACTTTATAGCAATCTATAGCTCTCCTTTTGTAGATGATATAATGCTCAACTTCCTTGGTAATCACTTTGCTTAAAATAAAGAACGGGAAATTGTAAACATTAAGAATATGGTTAAAAAAAAAAAGTACCAAAGTATAATTAACTAAAGCTCTCACACAAAGGCTTTAGATAATATTTTCCTTTTAAAATAAATCACTGCACAGAAATCAGCCTGAGGAAAATATGGGGTTTTTCTTTTTTGTCAACTAGGCCTCAGGCCTTCTCCTTTTTTTTTTAAATAAATATTTCTGAAACAAATAAGTCCATGCTAGATAAATACGTTATATCTAAGTGCAGAGAAACGTCTAAATCTTGAAAATTAACAAGACATCTACATACATAGCAGCATTATTCACAATATCCAAAAGGCGGAAGCAACCCAAGTGTCCACTGATAGATGAACGGATAAACAAAATGCGGTATACACAGAAAACAGAATATTAATCAGCCTTAAAAAGAAAGGAAATTCTGACACATGCTACAACATGGATGAACCTTGAGGACATTATGCTAAGTAAATAAGCTAAACACAAATGGACAAATACTCTATGATTCCACTTCCATGAGGTGTCTAGAGTTAAATTCACAGACAAAGTAGAACAGTGGTTACCACGGACTGGAGGAAGTGGGGAGTGGAGACAATTGTTTAACAGGTATAGACAATCAGTGCTGCAAAAGGAAAAGAATTCTAGAAACTCAGCACAACAGTGAAAATGTACTTACCGCTACTGCACTGTACATTTAAAATGACTAACGTGGTAAGTTTTACATTATGTGTATTTTACCACAATTTAAAATAATAATAAAAACAGTAAGGAAAGAGTTCCAATTCCAGGGATGGTAGTATAGCTTAAATCAGACTAACCTTCCTACAGAAAACAATCAGGAACTCTGGAACAAATATTCAAGAATTATTTAAAGGCACCGGAGACCAACCAAAGTTGGTAGCAAGTGAAGGGGGATCTATCCTTGAAAGAAGGGACTTGCACTGGGTATGATTCATGTTTATACAACTCTCCCCTGAAGGCACTCAGTGGTCTCAGAGGTACAAGGCAGTTTGAACTCAGACTGAACATCTGTTTGGTTTTTGAACTTAAGATATCAGAAAACAGGAACTGCCAAAGCAGCTGGAAATAAAGACAGGAAATACCGAAAAAGGACGGAGCCACAAAACCTGAGTACAAACTCTCAAATGCATTGCTGACTACAATTGCATGGTAAGACTACAAAAAGACCAGTGGAAAGCAGCAGCTGGAAGGCTGAAAGAGCTCAGCAGATACCTCAACTGCTGTCAATCACAGGGAGGCAGAGTTTGGAGCTAGAATCTTCCCAAGTTAGAGGTGTGACCATGGCTTTCCATTGAAACTGTGGAAGGATCATGAACTAGATGAGTTAAGCCTATGTCCCAGGACTGAGGGATTCACCTTAGACTAGGAACAAAATCCAAACAGACCCATCCTAAAAAAATGCATTAAACCAAATAGCCTCAAGATGACAGTCAGAAATTAAACTGTGTACCAGAACAAAAGCCTACACTCATGAGAGGAAGATAATAGAATCTAGAATGTCTAGAAAGTATCATCCACTTGTTCCGTATACAATCAAAAATAACTAGACCTGAGAAGAACCCCAAAAAAGTAACATATAGGTAAGAGAAAAAACAATCAATACAAACCAAGACCTAGATGGCCCAGATGTTGGGATTAGCTTACAGGGACTTTAAAGCAGCTACTATAAATATGTTCAAGGAATTAAAGATAAAGGTGGTCATAACAAGTGACAGGGAAATCTCAGCAAGGAATCAAAAACTGCAAAAAAGAACCAAATAGAAATTCTAGTCATGAAAAGTACAATATTTGAAATAAAAAATTCACTAGATGCACTTAAGTACAGATTGGAAATGACAGAAAAAAGGGCTGGTGAACTTGAAGACAGATGAATAAAAATTATCCCATCTAAAGAACAGAGAGAAAAAAAGGTGGGTAAATTAGACTTCAAAACTAAAAACTTCAGCTCTAAGACATTAAGAAAATAAGAGGCAATTTACAAACTGGGAGAAAATATTCACTATATCTATTTCTAACAAAGGATGTGAATCCAGAGTATATTTTCAAAAATACTCCTACAAATAAACTACAGGTTAAAGACTTGAGGGGCTGGCCCGGTGGTGTAGTGGTTAAGTTTGTACACTCCGCTTCAGCGGCCTGGGGTTTGCAGGTTCAGATCCTGGGTGCAGACCTACACTCCGCTCAACAAGCCATGCTGTGGGAGCAACACACATACACAAAAAATAGAGGAAGACTGGCACAGATATTAGCTCAAGGCCAGTCTTCCTCACAAAAAAGAAATAGAAAGAAAGAAAAGACCTGAACAGACACATCACAAATGAGAATCTGGAAATGGTCAATAATCATATGGAAACATGCTCAACACTATTAGTCATCAGGGATATGCAATTTAAGGCCACAGTAACATTCCATTTTACACCCATCCAAATGGTTACAATAGAAAGACAGACAACAGCAAATGCTGGTGATAATGTAAAACAAATGGAACTCTCATACATTGTTGGCAGGAGTCTACAAAGACACAATCACTTTGGAATACTATTTGGCAATTTCTCAGAAAGTTAAACACGTAACTAACCTATGACCCAGCTATTCTACTCCTAGGAATTAGTTGAAGAGAAACGAAAACATAGGTCCACAAAAACATCTGTTTATAGCAACTTTATTCACTGTGCTTCAAAAAATCAGAAGCAAGTCCAATGTCCCAAAGGAGAAAGGAAAAATATAGTGTGACATAACCATGTTAGTATAATGGAATACTACTCCGTAATAACAAAGAATGAATTAATACACACAACATGGATAAATCCCAAAAACATTATGCTGAGCAAAAGAAGCCAAGCATAAAAGACTATAAACTGTATGACTCAATTTCCATGAAGTTTAAGAACAGGGAAAACTAATCTACAGTGATAGAAATTAGGATGAATGGAGGGTGGGGACACGGGGCAAACCTTCTGTGAGGATGGAAATGTTCTTTATTTTGACTGGCTTGATGATTACATGGTTAACATCGAAAGCCACTGAATTGTACACTTAAGATCTGTGCATTTCAAAGTATGTAAATTTTACCTCAATAACAGCAGTTAAGAATTACTTTTTAAACCATGATTTTGAGATTATGAATAACAAGTTAAATTTTAAATCCACTAAGTTTTATCAAAGTGATTGGACTTTAACTACTAATATAATAGAAATATTTTAAAAGTTTAGAGTCCCGAAAGTTCTAAAATCCTGCGAATCCACACGATTTCCAATTGTCACTGTGCTTACACAGTCTTCATCCTCAAATTTTAATATGGTGGTTTCTGGAACTAGGACAAGTAAAACACACTTGTTTATGTAAGTAATACTCAGTTCTCTCTTAACTTCATATCTAACACCACGTACTTGCAACCTGAAAAAACTTGGACTTCTTTTTCTGTATGTATAACTGAAACTGCCAGTGTTTTTAGAAATCTTATTTTAAAAACATCTTTTTAAACTTTAAGTTGATCATCAAAATATATTCTTTTTGAAAGTTTAATATCTGTCATTACGCTTATTCCCATTTCTAGACATACAATACTGCACCCTCCACAGGCCCCCTTCAGCCTTCCTCAGCACAAGTTTCACCTAATTGTCCTTCGCTCTTTTGTAAGGTTGACCCATATCCCTTAATTTGGTTCGCTGGTTTGTCCATGAGTGACTCCAAGTGTATTTACCCGCAACACACCTTCTCTAGTTACATCTAAAAGAAAAAAATACTTCTCGATACCTATTTTAGGTAACAGAGAACAAATCCTTGCTTCAAATGGTGGAACTACCTCCACATGGCTGGCTAGGTTCACGCGACCCGGAAATTCCTACTTAATAAATGTTTAAATTCCGGCCACTCAACAAAAACATAGATGTATTTAGTTAGTCATCAAATAAAAATTCACGAAGAAAAATTCCTAATGCTACACACAGACAAGAAGGAGAGATAAGTTTGCCAGAGATTACTATTTCCCCTTTAGAATATAATGAACTGCATTACGTGGTAATTACTCACTCTCATTTAATCCTTACCTTCTTTCAGAGCTTTGTCCATATTATGAGAAATGACTACCCTTCTAGACTGCACTGTCTCACGTGAGTTTTCATACACAGGACTCTAAAATGAAAGAAAAAGAAAAAGAAAAGGATACAGATTACTGAATGAATAAATCACATATAAAAATAAAACCGAAGGCATGAAACACCCTCTGAACAAGCAATAAGATATTGCTTTACAGATTATAAAGTTCTTCTGGAAGAGTAAATAAATATTTAAGATTAGTTAAGAAATTTTTGAAAAAAAAAAAAAGGATTAAAGAAAAATTTCTTTTCCTTCTAGATATCAAAACAGTATGAAGCCTGTGTAGGAATAAACAAATCAACAGAATGTAGAAAGTACAAAAACAGATGCATCTATATATGAGAATTCAGAACACAATAAAAAAGAATTTGAAATCAATGGAGAAAACAGACTATTCAATAAACAGTGGTGGGACAATTTGATATTCATGTGGGAAAAAAGGTTAATCTTACCTCACACTTTACATATAAATAAATAACTCCAAATAAATTAAAAAGCTAAATATTTCTAAACTAAAAAAGCATTCAAAGGAAATAAGGGAGAAGCTGTATACAATCTTGGGATGCGAAGGGGCTCCCTAAAGTAAGACACAAAATCCAAAAGTTATAAAGGGAAAAAAACCTGACAATGTGACTGTACAAAAGAGAAAATTCCTGTTTGACAAAAGATATTATAAAATATAAATGACAGACTAGGAGACAATATCTGCAACATAAATAACAAAGGACTATTATTTTACATAGAGCTAAGAGAAACAACTCAAAAGAAAACCAAGCAAAGAAACTGAAAGGGCAATCACAAAAGATAAACCAAGAAAAAAAGGTGCAACTTCCTTTTTAATTAGAGAAATGCAAATCAGAGCAATGAGATACCATCAGACTGCCACAGCAGGGGGAAAGACGGAGAATATCTAACGTTGGCAAGGATATGTGCAATAGTCATCTTCATAAATTGTTGGGGGAAATGTCTATTTCTACAAGCTTTTAAGGAAGCAACTGAGCCACAGATATCAAAATTTTAAATGCACTATCTTTTCATTCAGCAATCCCACTCCTAAGAATATGCCCACAGAAATACTTGCACATACGCAAAAAAGTATATACATCAGGAATTTCACTGCTATATTGATCACAAGGGCAGAAAACTGGGAAACAACCCACGTGTATATCAACAGTCAAAGAGTTAGACAAATCCTGGTACACGCACACTTTAGAATATAATGCAGCCATTAAAAAGAAGGAATTAGGGATATATCTTCACAGAAAGTTTTCCACAGTAAGAAAATGTTTGGGGACACATACACCACTCTATTAAATGTGGTTTTCGCTAGGCAAGGGCATAGGATTTCAACTTCTTACTCCAAACATGTCCGCGTAATAGTTTTAAAAAAGAAGTTAATTGTAAAAAGATACTGCTTGGCAAAAAAAAAAATAGGAGAGATAATGTACAGAATTAAAATCCCACTATCTGGCTAGTAAGACTACACTAAAGACAAAATTTTTTTAAAGGATCACATACCAAAATGATCAAATGCATGTATAATGTAACTGGGCCTACTTAATGGTTTTGGCAGATAAAAAGAAACTAGTATTAACAAAACATAGAGGGGCCAGCCTGGTGGTGTAGTGGTTAGATGCGTGCACGTGCCACCTCCACCACCAGGGTTCACAGGTTCAGATCCCAGGTGCGGATCTACACACCACTCATCAAGCCATGCAGTGGCCGCATCCCACATACAAAATAGAGGAAGACTGGCACAGATGTCAACTCAGCAACAATCTTTCTCAACCAAAAAAGAGGAAGATTGGCCACAGGTGTTAGCTCAGTGACAATCTTCCTCACTTAAAAAAAAAAAAGCACAGTTCTTTTTTGTGCGTGGGAAATATTACAAGTGCCTGACTAGCATTACCACGTCCAACAAACAACAAACAAGCATGAGGAAGTCACTTTGTTCTCGGGCAGGCCACCCCAACAGAGCTGCCATCAACCCCATTGCCCTGGGCCACCCAACTGGGAGTGGAGAACTTCCAGTCCATGACTTAGTTTCACGCTATCCATGGGTCAAGTCCAAGAGTGTCATCTGTGTTCATGCTGTTTTTAGAAAGAAACAAAAAGCCACAGTTTTAAGATTCCTCGAAATAAAAGCCTTAAGATATATATGTACGTGTTGCACTCATGAAAGCAAAGAATTCCTCTATGCTGCAAATTAACATAACATTCAACACCTTCTCAGGGAATAATTTTTCAAAAACCTTAAATAATCATAATCCTATAGACAAAAGCCATTTAATGCATAAAAGAAATACATTTTCAATCCTTTAAAGTTATTTTCTAGTCTCTGAGTAGGTTGCTATAAAATTAAATGGTCAGTATATTTTATGGTAAATAAATTTTTAATTTACTTTGTGAAAGACAAAAAATGAGGGAACAAGAGGAATTTTAAAATTCTGGTGAATTTTAGAACCTTAGGCAGATGTTTAAACAACTTACAGATTTTTCTGAAAATTTATTAATTGAGTTAATACTTTTAGACTGCTATATTGATAAATAATTTTAATCTCAACTTCTAAAGCCTTTGGCAAATAGTCTGGTATAGTTTCCCAAATACAGGTACGGTAGTTTTTGTACACAATACTAATCGGATGATAAAACCAAAGCCAAACAGCACTTATTTGAGAAGTTCCTCAATGTGGGTTCTTAAAATGGAACCTGTTTGTAACGGCTGGGAGAGAAGCAGGTACAAATGTGACTGACAGGCAGCACGTGCATATTTAAATGTATTCTGCGTTTATGTGTCCATCTTCACAACTTCCTTCAAAATTTGTTTTTTTCATTCTTTTTTACTTTTTTGTCTCCCTAATTATGGCCCTACTACTTCTGGCCGTGTCTGCATACTTCTCTCTCTGTTTCATGCTTACACGTAATACATATATATAGACATGTCTGTCACTACTGACTGTATCTGAATAAGGCCTTTAGTCTCTTTAATTTAAGAAGCTTATGAGAATAACATTTTCTATTTTGGCTCTTTAAGTAAAAGCTCTGTTATTTTTCAATCTGATTTTCCAGTCTGCCTCTGGATTTCCCCCGCCCCACCGCCCAAGTGTCACTGGCCCTTATTAGAAAGAAAAAAGTTCTTCATCCCTATCCGATCCCCACAGCCCAATGGATAGTCTGTAAGAAAGGAGAACAGGAAGATTTAAAGAAAAAAAAAGAAAATATCATGGGCCAAAAATAACTGGGTAACTATGCACAGAAGTTTCTTTTTCAAGGATTTAATATGTACAGAACCAGAATTTCCTCATGTCTAAATTACTATAGGAGTATAAGTTAATCACCACATACTCTCTTTCGGAACACAGACATGGAAATCATTATCCCAAAGTGCAGAAAGAAAGGAACGAGGAGAGGAAGGGAGGGAGGAATGAACGGAGGGGGAGGGGAGGGCAAACGGGAGGGGAGAAGCAGGGAAGTGAAAAGGGAAGAGGAGAAAGCTAGTTAGCTAAAATTGTCTTCATCTTCCTTCTATTTATAGGTTTGTGGAAAAAAGGAAACTCCGCATGGCACATACTTCCCCAAAGACTTATTCTTGAAGGCAAATTCTAACTTCCCCCATCTGTACTGGCACAGGCCTCATTCCCCAGGTAAAGCCTACCTCTTCTTGATAATCACTTTCCTAAAATGCCAGTTCTAGGAAAGATAGAATAAAAATGTGTGTACTTTTCCCTCTGTCTTTCAATATCCTAATCCAGAAATTAGGACTTCGAATGTAGTTTGACCACTCACCTCCTATTTTAAATGTTCAGTATCCACACCACACTATTAACTCCTTAAACCTTCCTAGTACCCCATCCTCTAAAAATACACCTTGTTTTTTATTTAATTAAAATAAATTAAGCTTGTCTTCATTGTAAGATTTAAACCTAGCTTAAAACCAACTTGTGGAGATTATTTTTCATCACTCAGTGAGCTCGTTCTCTGGCGAGAGAAAAACAGAGGTCTCAACACATAATTACGCATTCTAAAAATGTTTTCCAAAGACAGGGCAAAGCATGAAAGCTTTTCTCTAATATATATAACTAGACCCTCAGCATCAAGAAGTAGATGCCATATCAATGGATGGTTTCCCAAAGACATCTCAGCTTTCTGTTTACTCCTGAATATCAGCTTCCGGTCTACAGCCCTAACACACTCAAATCACCTTTGTGTGGGAGCTAAAGACGCCCTCTCCCCGGGGTACTCTGACACCATTAGCAAGTGAACAACCAGGAGCTATCTGGAATCCAGCCAAGGCACACACCTCATTGTCTGTCGTCTATAAGGACGACACTGTTTACGGTGTCGCTTGCTGTGGGAGCACAGATGTGGCTAGAACAGCCAGGCCATGACTCGTCGTTCGTTTCATGCCTATTACCTAGACTACTCAAATAAGCAAGTGCCTCTCTCCTTCATCATACACATTTTTTTAAAAAATGTAATGTACTTTGGGTTATTTTAAAAAGAAAAGGTTGTACAGAGTGAAAGGATTTATGGGTGTGCTTTCCTGTAAAGCTACTGAAATAGTTATTTATCTTAGGAAAACAAACACAAACCCCCAAATGTCATCACTGACCACACGGAGCTGTCACATGGCTGAGTCTGTCAAAGTACTCTCAGCATCAGACAACCCACTGGGATCCCATGACTAATACTCTCATTCTTAAACTATCTTATTCTCAAAACCATGGCTCCTTTCAAATCAACCATATTCTCCCTCAGCCTCAAAAAATAACTTATTCAAAACCAAAGAAATGAAGGAACCACGCACATTCCTCCTCAGGAAGAGAGGAAGGGACTAAGAAACTTGAAAGGTTGTCTCATTTGACTAAGACCCTGACCAAAGATTGTGACATGAGCAGTAAAAGTCATACCCATGGGGCAGGTCCTGTGGTCTAGTGGTTAAGTTCAGCATGCTCCACTTCAGCGGCCGGGTTCAGTTTCTGGGCACCGATCTACACCACTCATCAGTGGCCATGCTATGGCCACATACAAATTAG